CCCTAAACTTCAAAGATTAGAGAATTGAGGTACTTTTACTTGTGTTGTATCAGTTACCTGCCAGTGAAGTATAAAATGAGAAGATAAGCGAATATGGGTCAGAAGACCTGGGTTTAAACCCTTTCTCTGTCAGTCAGTGATACCACTATTCTCCATTTCATTCTCTATAAAAGAAAAATGGTTGAACAATGGTACCATTTGTGATACACTCTGGCTTCTCTACTTATATATCCGTATGTGAATGAGTCAGATAGTCCAGTTTTTTCCCACTGAACTGATTGACAGGCCATTTTAGAGAAGGTGGAAGGCTGGAGAAATGCCGTCTTGAGAAAGCAAATGCATTATTCATCTTGTAAAACTTTTATAAAATGAGTAATTGTTAGCAGAAAGCATTTAAAAATGCCTTTTTTTCTTTGCTATTAAAGAAAAGCCTAATTACTAAAATGTGGAATGGGATCTCCAGATTGATGGTGAAAAATGGCATCTCATCCTATTCCAGTTCCGGATTAAAGTAGGATGATGATAGATCAAACAGTCAAAAACAGCAGATGATTCTCAAAATTTATGGTCTCACAGATACCCTCTTAGGCTGTGAAACTCACTTTGGCCTATGGCATTTCTCCTATTTCTTTAATCATTGTTACTTATAGTAGTAGGTTAAGATAAACATACATCTGCATGAAAAAATATTTCCAATAAAGTCTGATTTCTGTGAACAGTACAAAAGAATCAGTATTTGAAAGAGAATATGATAAAATGTGTTCAGATATACAAGCTGCTTTAGTTCATACTTAAGGAATGATGGAAACCATTGGTAGGAAGTGTAGTGTTGCCTGACACTTGTTTGTTTGCTTGGGCCTGTGTTAAGTGAAAGCAGTTATTTTAAAGGCAGACTCAACTTCCCATTTCCTCCTGATTTTCACTTCAGCTGTACAAAAAAAATTAGTGACGTTTACTGTGTGCCCAATTCTGGGATAGCCCCTAGGAAAATAATGGTATGGTCCCCACTCTTCAGATTTTCACAGCTCTGTAGTGAAGCAGGACATGGAAAATAGAGTAAAACAAGTATAATGATGCTGTATAGAGTAGAAAGGAAGTCATGTTTAAGAGAAGTTCAGGGAATGGCTTCAAAGAATTGGTGATTCATGAGCAGAAATTTCATCAGGTGAATGTGAGGAGGGCTGATGGAAAAGAGATAAAGGTGTGAAGTTATACAAATGTGAACTAACTGTGTAAGTGTGGATACCTGGTATCACTGCTGTGCAGTCTGGGGTTGGGGGAAGAGGAATTGCAGTGGAAGAAGAGGAAGCAAGGCTATCGTGAGGAGACGAGGAAGGGGCCAGAAAATGAGGTGAACTGCCATGTGTAGGGCCTTGGATTTTATCCTTACTGATGGAGACATTGAAGGTTTCTGAGCGTGTCGCTTCATGACTAGATTTGCATTTTGGAAGATTATTTGTGGCTGGCTTATGGTCAACGGTGTGCTGGGAACCAAGTCTCTCTGTTAGCATGAGGACCTAGTTAAAGGGTGATGCAATAGTACAAATGAGTGATGAGATGATTTTCTAGTGTAAATTTTTCTGTTTACTCATAAATATACTGCCACATTTTAACATGTCAGCAAATTGAAAATATTTCTAGTGTCCAGTAGAACTAATTCATTGCTACTTTTATAGTCTGAAATTATTCATGAAATTAATAACAATGAAAAATTGAGGGAGGATTAGTATTTTGTCAGTGAAATTAAATCAGTAAACTTTTCAAAAAAGTTTCATAGTTATAGTTTTGTCATATAATGTGGAACATAAACTTTAAAAAATGAAAGGTAATGAATTTATAATATATATACATCTTGTTATTTGTGGAAATTATGCATATTTGAAAAAAAGTGATATCATAGTGCTGGTACATGTAAACATTTGTTGAACTTCCATTTGCCACTGACAGTTGGAACTAAGACTTTGTATTAATTCAAGTCATGCAGTAAGTGATTGATATTGAAAGTTAAATCCCAAATTGAGAAGAATTAAAATATTTCTTAGGGAAAATTAAATAATCACATAGGCATATAAGATTATAATTTTTAAAAGAGTATGTACTAAAAGATCATTGCAAATAATATAACTGGAAAGGCACATTTGAAACTAACTTTAGATTGTTCCACAAACAGTAATGGCATGTTATTCTTCCTACCAAATCTTGGTTTGGGGACATAAATCCTCATACTGCACGAGGAAGCAAAAGTCAAAGTGAAGAAGTTAGAACATCTGTAGCATTGTAAGGAAATAACACATGACAATGCTACATCTTTTTCAGAATGAATCTAAGATATTATTTTAAATGTTGCTATGTAAGTTCACATAGTAGTATACAAGTTACCCTAGATGTTAGGTTTGAATTCCATAATCAAATCATGGAATAATGATCAGTTTCCATTATGCATCATCTTCCATTCAGAATATTGCTCAGAAATCTGATTGGTTCCTTACTGTTAGCGCAACTTTCTTTAATTGTGAAGAATACTGCCCATGCCTGTAGTTTTAGGATTGCAAGGTTATTACTCTACATTTAATGCCAGATTATATTTCAGGCTTCAGGGATAACATTGAAGTTTTAGGGGTTAGGATAAATTTGCTATGCCTGGTTTTTATAAAATGTTTTTTAAAAATAACTTTTTTTGTAGGATCTGTTTATCTCCTTTTCCCCCCATATGATAATTGTATGCAGTGTAACACTTTGAGGAAACATTTTAGCAAAATGTATTTTTGCTGCATTTTCACCCTTAGTAGGTTCTATTAGAGGAACCAATGGTGACATGTTTCAAAGCAGAAATCTTTGCATGCTTATTTTTTACTATTTAATGAGATTTCAGGTGTATTTTAACAACTGGGGATTCCCTGATGAATCATTAAAATAAGCGAGTGGGCTAGAAGGTAATACCAACTTTTTTCAGTACTGCCCTATTTTACTCTGCTGGGTTATTGGTTGCTTTTTAAATAGAACCTGGGTGTGTTGGAGTTGGTGGGTGGAGGTGCAGAAGGGAAGGGGTCAATAAGAAAATACCAGGTAAACCTCTGACGACCTATTGGGAAATCCTACACAAATTTTACTTTCCCCAACTTAAAGCATTTTGTATGTAAGCTCACCGTTTTTTGCTCTGCCAAGCTTAACTTTCCAAATACTGTTTACAGGCAAATAGAAAATATGTTTTCAGCAATTGATTGAAGTTTAAGGCACGGAGCCATGTGTGGATCAGCCTGTGGAATCAATTTCTCATGTGTGTAGGATTAAAACTGTTAAAACCATCATCACTGAAACCATACCTTCCTACACCTAATTGCAGTAAGGTGTCTGTGGAATATATTAATACAACTCCTCTGATTTAAAATTATTACTTGGTATTTGGTTGGAAAATTATTTGAATGTTATAGGTAACTGAATTGACATCACCTATGAGGTTTAATTATGGGTTTCTATTGTGACTTAGGTGAATTTTTAAAACTCCACAGGGTGTATGTATATGTAACACCTCTCTTTCAAAAAATCAATAGCATATTGCAAATTTCCCTTATCTTTACTATTAAAAAATAAAACCCAAAAACCTCAACTATCATAGCAGCTGTAAGTGCTAGAGGAGGTAGACAAAAATGTAGTTCACCTTGAAAATGATCATGGCTCAGGGAATAAAGAAATTAGGTCAAGCTTAAAATAAATGCAGGTACAATGACAAAAAGTTTTAATACAAAATTTAAAAATATTCACAGTATTGGTTTCAGGCTACTTTTGTTCTCAGTGACCTTATCAATGTGTTACTAGTTTTTAATTGAGGTGACTTGATGGCAAAATGTTTATATGAAATACTGTTGTGATTTTTAACTTTCCCCTTTTAATTGTAAACATAAATTTTTGGAAAGGCAGATAAATCTTAGATCTTTTTGACCTCTGGTGGTCTTAAATAGAATTTGAAGGGGTTTAAAATTCCCATGTCATAACTATCACTTTGACTCATTTTATGTTGTGAATTTAATGTTTAGCACTTAAGCATGTATCATTAAATCGTAGTATTGATAATTAGTTAAACTTTCATAAAGCTTTAATAGTATAGTAGATTTTTGTTCATCTGGTGTCACTGGGGAATAAAATATGCTGAAGAAATGATTTTTTTAAAGTGAAGCTTACTTATTAAGCAGAAAAACTTAAAAGTTGATAAAATTTATCTGAAAGATTTTTTATACTCTTTCAGGGAGCAAGAATGGATTGGCCACTTACTCTTTTCTTAATGTCATAAAATGTCATCATTCTTTGGTCATGCAGAAAGGACATGGGCTTTTTGATAGGTGTTTGTTCTCCAATGTAAGAAGTTTTTAAAATTTGTTTTAAATAACACACTCCTAATTCTGATACATGCAGTTTAAATGTTTCAGGATTTAAGGTCTGTGGTGCTACATATGCTAGTACTTAACAGATTCATAAAACCTGGCACCTATATAAGACAGTTGACTGTGTGTAGGCTCACCCACCATCTTTGGGCGAACAGCTGGCTACAGCCTCCTTCCGCAAGGAGACCCTCTTCTTGCTTTGGACTAAGTACTTTCAGTGTTGAGGCCCTGTTACTGCTGCTCCCGATCACTCATGGCCTAGTAGACATTGTTGTCGTGCAAAATGTCTTTATTCACCTGACGTGCTTGTAAGCATCTGTGGTGTCAGGGTGACCACCTGCAGTTTTTTGGAATTTTGGCTAAAATGGGCAAATAGTGTACTCCTCTTATCTTTTAGCAAATTCCAGCACGGCAGCAAAATCCTTTTTAACAAAGTGGGTTTCTTTTTTCAAACTCATGCTTATTTGTTTCAAGTAGTGTTTTCTAAAACAGAATTCAAGCACAGCAAAAGTATTTGAACTGTTCTTTAATGTGCTGTAATGACATTTGGTTTGAATCTTGTATTTAAAAATCAGCTTCCCCTCTTTTGCTTATACCTAATGGGCATCATCTTTCTTCCAGGTTGTGCTTTTAGAAGACCATTAGGGAAGAACACATTTTCGCCTTGCCACAAAGTTGCATAGAAGTAAGTGGGGAACTGCCAGGATATGTCTGTCTCCACAAAACAAGCAGAACAAATTTCCATGAATCAAAGCCACTAAGTATAGTTTTCGGAGATGGTAGGACATAGTTACTCTCCCTAGAAAAATACCCAAAGTGCAGGCACACCCATTGGCCACTAGAAAAATGCTCAAGTTCAAACCTGTACATTTCACTCTTCTTACTGAGCTATTAAAGGGGTGGAAGTCTGCTATAGCTATAATCTTTTTTTTCCCCTTTTCTATTTTCGACCTCCCACATACTTGGTGTTTTGTTCTGCTTACTAAGTGTCTTGAATCTGAGGTATCACCTACATGTCCTGCCTCCACAGTGGCTGATGGTCTGCAGATAACTCATGATCAGACCCAAAAGAAACATCTGTAAATACACAGCATGATACATGCTCTAGATTAATCATGGAAAAGGGCAGAGTCATGAAGAATCAGAAAGCTTTTTAAGCTTTTTCTAATATTAATGTTGCTTGCTTTGAACGTATAAGAGGAAAATATTCTTAAGAGTGATTTATATCACATTCCATCACTTGGGGCAATATCTCAGGTTTTTTACAGCCTTTTAGACACCTTTTAAGGATATAGAGGGCATATATACCTTAGTCTGGTTAGGTCAGAGGAAGTGAGGCAAGATAGTAGATATCTGTGATGGGCTTTAGTAAGCAAAATAATGTTAAAATGCTTTGATTCTTTCTTGAAACCTTTGATATAATTTTCAAAATTCTCTTTATTGGTCTGTTACTTTCCAGAAGTTTCCATCACATGAAGGATTAATGACTATAATTTTGTTAAACTTGGAAGGGTTTTGTTAGTGTTTTGAACACTGCATTATTAGAGGTGAATTCTCCGTCTGGTCTGAAAAAACTGAGCCTCTGTATAGCTCAGCCTCTGAGCGTATTTCTTACCCACATGACTGTGGGACTCTCAAATTTGTATGTGAAATGCAAGCTGCCGATGAGGAGTAGTGAACACCCACTGTGTTTCAAATGCAGGAGTATGTCCACCTTTCCCAGCTATATTTGGTGGATAGGGATCTGTGATTGAAAGTTACTGATATTAAAATGCTGGAGGACTCAAAGATGTCCTTTCTTCCTAAAGTGATTTATATGAACAGTGGGAGGGGCAAAATATCTCATTACTGTTTGTAAGCAGTTTGCTTCAATTTTATTTTAACAACATGCCTCTGTGTTAGTAGTGTTGTACCCATTTTAGAGAAGGTGAAACTGGGTGCTACAAAGTTAGGTAACTTATCCAAGGTCATACAGGTAGGAAATGACAGAGCTGAACTTCAAACTTGTATCTCACTGACCTCAGGATTCATGCCTTTTCCACCTGAGGAACACTGCTTATTTTTCAGATTAGTGAAATACATACTTATGTATTTTTTCCCCCAACATGCTCATTGGCAGATTTAGACACTGAATTCATTTCTTTGAGAACCATCTGAGTGTTTTGCTTTGAAATGCAGTTTAAGTTGGCATTGCTTTGACTGAGCAAGACAAAGTACAACTTTACTAGTGAAAAGCATCAAGTTGTTGAGACTCATAATTTTGTGGAAAAACATCAAGAAAAGCAATATGCCATTTAATGAGTGGTGTTTACTTAAGTCATAAAGGAAAATTCAAATATCTGGAATATTTTTTAAACAATGTAGTATTTATTAAAAGAATGATGTTTCTTCCTTGTTCCTTACAGGAAATAGCGTGTAATTTGAAATGTTTATAAAAGTTTTTACATTCATACATATATTTTTATTTCACGGGGCACATTAATAAAAGCCATTGCTATTAAAATAAAAAAATTGCTTAGTAGCAAATTCTCTGATGAAAAATTTACCATGTCTTTTATCATAACATTACTTCATCCTTCTTGATGAGTTTGTTTAAAGAAAGGTTGTAGAAACCTTGTTGGTTCATGACATATAACTTTACCTTACTTTTTTGGTCTTCCTTTGCGGGTGGGATATTGACAGTTAGGGAGGAAGGGGTCAAGGTATATGCAGTATCTCAAGAGATTGTATCCTTAAGATTTTTAACACTAGAGGATTAATATTTGAATATGAATGTGCTGTGTTCTAAGTACAGATTCACTGGGAGCATGGATAGCTAGCTGGTGAATTTAAAGATGGATTCATGTGAGAGTTACAGAATCAGAGAATTCCTGAACTGGAAAGAGCCTTACAAATGAAGGGCCCTTGAAATGGGAGTCTTAGGAGATGAGTTCAGTGACTGACTGACTGTCCAAGATTAGAGTTCTAGGTCAAGCAGTTCTGAAGTCACTGAGTCAGGGTCACAACTGCTCCAACCAGGAAGTGGGTGATTACAGCAGGAGAGAGCTTTCAACTTCCTGGGGTAGATGAAAAAACTTGAGTCATTGTGGAAGTAATCTTAGGGCATGAAGGAAATAGAAATCAGAAAAATGAAGCCTCCTTTGTCCCCTATTATGAACACAAATGATGTAAAAACATTGATTACAAAAAACATAAACCTTAATTTTTATATACTTTTTAGAAAAGTGGGACAAGCCTAATTTAAAAAATAATGTGTATATTATTTATATTCACTTTCTGGGTATAATAATTTAACTTACTTTTATTTTTTAAAATATCTCTATACACCCACATGCATGTGTTTGGAAAAAAAATGTATTTTTTGCTTATTTTCTAGAACCTGTGACTATTTGAAAGGGCCAATGAGTATTCTCATCATAGAGGCATTCTGTGGAGGGTCCCATAAACAGCTGGTGGATCTGCTGCAAGAAGAGTTAGAAGACTGTGTCCTTTATACCCTTCCTGCAAAGAAATGGCATTGGAGAGCACGGACATCCGCTTTATACTTCTCCCAGAATATTCCCATCAGTGAGCATTACAGGTAATTAGAGCTCCGGCTGCAACTTCAGTGTGTTTTTAATGGACCTATTACAAGAATGCTGCTTCTCTGTTGGCATCTGTGAGGTTTTCTGCAACTATGAAACTGGACAGTGTGACTACAGTAGATATTCCTTTAGACACAGCCCAGCAGCAGAGTACCACGTTTACACTCTGAGGACACCTGGTCAGTATGAAAGTGGCTCATTTAGCACCTATGTACCTTTTCTCGTTTGTCTTATGATTTTATCACATGCAGGTGTGTGGGTGTGGATGCTATTTTCTGGCCTGAGATGAGAGTTGCTCTTGAGCACATTTTTTTCCCGATTCCTCTTTTAGTGAGTGTATATTTATTGTCTGCTTTGTACTAGGAGGTAAGGTTAAAAAGATCTATATGACCATCTGTGCCCTTATAGGCTTTAAAGACTGCTGAGGTAGAGATAGATGTACAAATGCAATGAGAGTATGAGAAATGGAGAAGTTGATTTTGACTGTGACAAATTGGAGGGGGCCTTATAGAGTTGGTGTGGATAAAATGAAGGTTCCTGTGGCCAGGATTCTCACTTGGCCCTGGTTGGCTAGCTCACTACACATGTGTGAGTGATATGTTGCTATTGACTCTATGTAAAAGAGCTCCACCCAGTGCTCTCGGAGACATGGTAGCACGGCTGCAAGGCTGCAGGAGAGCAGAGCAGAGGCTGGAGTGGTGGCAGTGCCAAGGACAGAGGCCCAGAGGACGGCTACGCGGTCTGAGAGGCCCAGAGGCAGAGACCGGCTTGCTGCATGCAGACTCATTCTGAGTTGGTGGGATTTTAGTGATTGACCTGCCACCGATAAAGTTGGGTATAATGCTTTCACCACAAGAACGTTCTACTGTCATTTCTTTGGTCTCACTGACTCCATAGTGAACTTGCCCAGGGCTGAAACCCATTGGCAAGACAGTTGGTTGCTTTTGCTTAGCCTTGAAGGATGAATAGGACACAGGCTTCAATTCTGAATTCTGATTTGTTAAGAACTGGGAACTAGAGGGACTTATTTGGAAGTCTTGTGGAACCCACTGAAAAGATGGATGAAAGTACTGACTACATTTTCTGGGGACAAGTAGGATGGAATCCACCTAAACATCTCTACCTCTTTATTCTCTATTTGTGTATAGTTCCATGTGTCTCCTGATTGTTAAACAGTGGAAGATTTTCCTACTGTTGTTGCATATTTCATGTTCTTACGTTCTGGGCCCTTCTGTGTAGGACTGCATTGGTTGAGGCTGGAGTGGGGAGCTAGAGCAGATGTGTTGTTAGAGAAAGGGCACATGGCAAGCCACAGTGCCTACCTCGGCTTCAGCAGCAACACCCATTGGCTGCACCTTGTCCCAGGGAGCCACCTCCAGGCAGACAGCAGCTTCAGATGTAAATTTAAGTTAAGTATCTTATTAGAAATTTTAATGAATATATCAACATGAAAGTTTTAAAAGCAATGATAAGACTATTGCTGTATTGAAATCTGTTTATAGTTGCTTTCACATCTCATTTAATTGTGTTTTCATAGCACCAATTGTATCATCTGTGTTACTTAAGGTCAAGTAATCTGGTTGACTTTATGGCACATTTCTATTTAGCCTTGTCATTTCACATAATACATTTCTGCAATAATTTGAACATTGAAATGAACCATTTCTCTATCTCTGTTAGGTTTCATTTTGATTATGCAGTATTTCAGAATGAAATTATTATATCAGAAATACATGTATTTGGATAGCATGCAAACACTTCTGTGCCCATAACTTCCCTACTCCCTTTGAGGCCTGAAACATTTGTGGATCACATTTCTCTTTGAAATAGTCTTATTTACAAGGTAGATTTCTGAAAAATGGAAGGTGATGTTAACTTTTACTCTCTGATAATCATAATCTCCAGGTCCAAATAGTGGTATCTGATCTTTCAAGGTCAGCCATTTATGCTCTTCAGTTAGCTGCATTAATCTAATCAGACTGTGTTAATCTAATCAGGCTTCACTAAAAGATATATCGCACCAGTTTAACGTACAGTTATATTTGACTAATGATAACTTATCTATTTTTTACCAAATAACCTTTTTGGTTACTTCTGGAAAAATAGCAGCAGCTTGAAAACTTATGCTAAGTTAAAAAATATGCTCACTTAATCCTAATTGAAGTGTGCAAGAATAACCTTTGATTATACCAGATAAATCTCATCTCTGTGGAGACTTAAAAATATGAAAAGCTTTTGCTTTCTAGTTACTGTATTTGTACATTTGACAAATGAAATCATCAAAATTCATAAAGATAAAATGTTTAAGTGCCAGTATTACCTACTATGCAGAATTACTCTGAACAGGTAAGAATGTGATGAGAAAGACCCTGAATGTGGGTACACATGTTATTTTTCTCAACTTCTGTACATGTAGTTATTATGGTTATAAGGTTGTTATCTGGAAAATATTTTATTACTAAAAAAATAAATGTTTCAGCCTAACTAATCAGTATGATTCTACTTTATCTTGACAGCTAAAAGAATACATAATCATTCACATTTAGAGTGGTTAAATTTGATTATAGATTATAGAATTTCCACAGGTTATTTTTCTCAAAAGTAGTCATTAATTATTGTAATTCTTTGGTCATATTTAAAGCTTTGCCTTCTGGAAACTTCACAAAATGCACAAAGATGTTTCAGAGGATGGGCCTTAAATTTCATGTTCTGAAATGTATGAGTCATTTGTCCCAAGATCAAGCATTTCTACTTTAAAATATACCTAGACTAGACACCAAAGATATTTCAACCTTTTTTTTCCCTGAAGTATCTTTACTGAACTTAAAGAATCCCTGTTACTTAGCATCTTTGTTTCACTCTCAGATGCTCACAATTATGTTTTTCATTCCATTGGGCGTATTGAGGCAGATACTGATCATTGCCCACTTCACAGCCCTTCTTTCTTGCTAACAGAATCACAGATTTCTTTAGGATGTCAGCCCCTGGGAGTGCAAGTGTGACTGACTTAAGCTGGTCGTGATGACCCTGTGCTCTGCTGATTTTCCCAGCTTTGCTTACAACTTGCGCTGTTCAGTCACTGGTTTTGGGCAAACTAGATTTAGTGGCTGACTTCTGGAGTTCTTCCAACAAAGTGTTATTTGTTTTGTTCTTTTACTTAGGACAGGGTAATGCCACCTCCCCTTTCCTGTATTTGACTGTGGTTGTGGTGTCTGCAACTGTGAGGTGACATGGCAACAAAACGCCTGGGCTGCTGAGGATGGCTGCTTGGAAGTCAGGAAAGGGCCTGGCTGAGATTTCCATTTTGAGCAAGATCCCTGGTCCCCTGGAGGCCTTGCATCTCTAAAACCCCTAGGAATGTAACAAATGTCTTTTAAGTCCATAGTTGAACAAAGTAAGAGATTTGAAGTGGGATCTAGCAGTTAGAGTGGTAAGCAGCTTTGAAGCCATGGCTCCCTAATTTTCATTAAGGTGCTTGCTTTATGATTCTAAGGTATGTTGCATTTTTGAAATGAAATATTGTGCAGCTCTAACCTGAATTAGGAAGCTCCCTATGTACTCCTATGAGAACCTAGGACATACTAAGTGACAAAAATTAAGGTACCAAACAGTGTCTTAGGTGCTATCTTTAGTATAAAGAAAGGAGGTTATAAAAGGAAACAATGGAAACAAAGTAGTTATCTGAGATAAGTGTAGCAGAGGCTGTCGGTGCCCCACCCATATCCCTTCGGCCAGTCTTACCTTCCCTTTTCCTGTGCCCTGTCAGTGTTGCCCTGGCCAGCTTCCTCCTACCAGTGTCGGCAGCTCTTGGGCTGGGAGCAGCAACTCTGCCAGGACATGAAGCAGGCTGTGAGCAGAACTCCGCAAAGGATCGTTGCCCTGCAGGTGACATCATTCTGAAGTGTGTGCAGGAGAGAAATTAAACTTTACTAAAAATTCCTGTAAGTCAGGAAATGTAAAAAGCATGGTTCTAAATAACTCATGGGTCATAGAAGAACTCATAAGGGTTACTAAAAGATAGAACTGAATCATAGTGAACATATTGTGTATCACACTATGGGTTACATCTAAAGTGACAGTCTTAGCTACATCTTCTTTAATAAACTTACTATTACTTTTGCTGTCGTATGTAAAGGGCCCTCTAAAGCACATGGCCTATAACAGGGCCCTCCTACTTGAATCTAGTAGTAGTCCAGGGAAGGAAACAGTAAGTGAAAAATAGTGAAATTGGAAGCAAATATATAATGGAGATGAACAAATTAATAGTTTTCTGGAAATAATAAAATACATAAACCACAGTCATGATTTTTTTTTAAAGGCACAAAAAATTTTTGGAGTGAAAAAATAGAACTGCTGATATAGTATAGATCAATGAAAAGGGGAAAGGCTTTTAATAGTTTGATGTTAGGACAGCTGAACACAGGCAAAATGGATAATTTCTTAGAAAAACATAATTTACAAAACCTCACTTCCAATGAAATAACAAATCTGAATGGAACTATAATCCTCGAAGATGTTAATGCATTAGCTAAAAATCTGCCCACTAAAAGACAGAGCCTGGGTCCTTGTACAGGATTGGTTTACTGTAGCAGCGCAGCCCTACCTCTTTCCAAGTGTGTTATGTTAAATCAAGTGTCTAGTTTTCTGATTTTTGTAGCCACATAAATCCTGTTAATAGGTGTTGATTATCATTATACCTGTTTCTCCCCTACCGCTGGCCTTTTTTTTTAATGTCTAAGGAGGGGCAAGGAAAGCAAATAGTTGGATAGAAAATAAACTGAAAGAAAGTTCAGCTTGATCAAATAATGCATAAAATGAAAGTAAAGCTTAAGGTGATACTTCGTCATTGATAATTCTATTATAATTTGCTATTTTCTTTGATGGTACCATGATCATGGCCTTTCACTAAAGGTTTTTCAAGGAATGTGATTTTTTTTTCTTAAATCAACTATTCTCTTTGAAACAATGAACATAACTTTCTTTGGGAAAATGAACA